TTTTTTTTTGTGTCTCACTACTTTTTCTCAACTCTCACTGGACCGATTTCTTTCAAAAATACGTCAAAAGATCGCAAATCGTATCTAGTTGAAGACATTACCCTTAAAAATTGAACATTTTTCTCTCGTTCCCCGCAAATAGGGTAAATCTCCAAAAAATGTACAATTTTTAAAATCGGTAAATTTTGTCATTTTTTTCAATTTTTTTTCTTAAAACTTCCATAACTTTTTCAAAAATCAACAAATCAACATAACTTTTTTTATATTAAAACCTTAGATATTTACCTTTCATTCGATATCATTTTTTTTTGAAAATCTAACATTTAACCTACTCATTGGGGGGGATTGAAAATAGCAAGTTTTTTTACAAAAACTAACTTTTTCAACTTAATTTTTGAAAATGTTCCGGAAATACTGCGTCCTTTAAACATATATCAAATTAAAGCTTATTTTATGTACTATAAAATGAAAAAAAAAAATTTGTCCCGACACTTTTATCTTCTGCATGCAATTGGCTGCCGTAGTTAAAAAAACGCTATTTCTGTGTTAAAATTTTCGATTTTCAATTTTCAACTTAAAAATGCTATAACTTTTCGAAAAATGTATGTATCAGCACAAATATTTTTTTTCTAAATACATTATAAGTACATCTTTCAATTAACATACTATTTATTAAAATTGGACAATTCCCCCTTATATAGGGAGCGATCAAAACTTGAAACATTATATAAAAAATAGAACTTTTTCAACTTAACTTTTAAAAATGTTCCGTAGATACTGCGTCCTTTAAACACATATCAAATTAAAGGTTATGTCATATACAGTAAAATAAAAAAAAAATTTGTCCCGACACTTTACCTTCTATGTGCAATGGCTGCCGAAATTCAACAAAAAATGTAATGTTTGCGATAAACATTTATTCATTTAGAAATATTCATTTATAATATTTTTAAAGTATATTGTCAAATTAGATTTGATATTATATAATTTTACTTTGAAATTTATTAATTTTTTTACTCTATTTGTGTGTGCTACTACCAAACTATAACATTCCAAATTTTTTCGTAACATATTGCTATAGAAATCATAATTCTAAGTAAAAGAATTACTAATCTGGATATAATTAAGGAAATAGAAGTTGATGTTGCTTTTGAAATAATCCACCAATCTTTTTAAAATTAAACACTATCTACAAATTTGCATCGAAGCATTTCTTATGATAGTGATTTTAATCACTGTCAGATTAAATCTATACTGGACCTAACTATGCCACGTCACCACTGTGCTGGGTTTTTTTATATAATTAAAAGTACAATTAGGCTTTTAGTAGAATTTTATTTAAATCAATAAATTTAATGTTATAATAAAAAAAAAAGCATGATCAATAGCCTGTTTACATAATTTATACCTTTTACCTATGCAGAATGCAATAATCATGATAGATAACATGTAGATTGTTTTTAACCTATGACAGGTAAAAATTTACGGTGTGGTAATGATTGTACCATACTATTAACTATGTTAGCAGAAAATTCGACACAAGTTTTACCACCCCCGTTTATAGTAGTAACAGATCTTCCTTTAATGTTCCCAAGTAATATGTTCATTCTAGATTTATATTTGCTAACATCAATTGTTACGCTATCCATACAAAAAGTTCCCTATAGTCAAAACAATATTAATTATCGCAATATCAAAACGATGAAATTCTAATTTTACCTTTGAAATTGGACAACTTTGAGGTAATTTCATCAAATCCAATGCTACTTCAAAATCATGAGCTTTTTCTTCAAGTTTCTTACACCCATCTTTCTTACCAGAGTATTTTACCATATTTTTTTCAACAGTATATGCAACCTAAGTGAATAACATTTTTTCAATTTTTAGGAGAAAATGAGACATTTGGCACTTGGAGCAATTTTCAAGACACCTTATTAGTTAACAAGGTAGGCTCTCTTTTGATATTTTATCAAATATATATAGCTATTAGTAAACGCATTTTAACTAACGAATCAAGACGACTCCCTAAAATTTTGTACCCTAAGTAGTTGCCTAGTTTGTCTAAACTGAAACACGAGCTGGGGTCCATACAATTTTGAGAATGTATAGTGGTGGGTAGCTCGCCTCTCCCATACTCATCCATAATGATAATTTTATGTCAAAGGAGTATACCCCTTGAACCGTCTCAGTAGTGTACTGTTCAAAATAAAATAATCAAATGAATTAAAAAATATTGGTACCTCTACGAACTTTGTAGAATAATTTTGCAAATCATATTAACCATACAATATAAAATTTTATTGTTTACAGGGTAATGTTTTAAGTAGTTTGTAAATGAGTAAACTCATTTTATTACAACAATTAAAATAATATCACGAATAAATTGAACATGAAATTATAAATCAAATTAAGGAATATTAAGAGCAGACACGTATTCAAAAAAGTTGGCACCCTACCCCTCGAAAAATTATAAAAGTTACTTTTAAGTTATTAAATTAAATTTTATAAAAAAAATATGTTTCTTGTATTATAAATGTGTGTGTACTAATTCAAACTTATCCCGAAATCAAATGTACTGTAGGCTGCTTCATATAAAATTAGTAACCACATTTTTCATTTAACAATACACCACTTTAACCAAACACTTAGAAAAATATTGATTAGTGAGCAATTATATTTACTAATTAGATATTTTTTATACCTCATTAATATGAAATATCTTATGCAAAAATCTTAGGGAGAAATTATTTCGATCCTATCAAATCATTACGCTAATTTCGCTAATTTAAAGTATATTAAATATGTATCAAAAATATTTTTAATTCAAAGGAAATTAAGTTAAAAATATTTATTTTTCTGTAAACCATTATCTGTTCAACTTCACAAACTTCGAATCTACTTAAGAGAATATTTAAATTAATAGCTGCTATATATTTTCAAATCTTTATAAAATAACAATTTATTTGCTAGCTTGAACGACATTGTGAAACTTTTAATTTAAAAATAAAAAAAAGAATTAGATAATATATATTGAAACACAAAGGCGTAGGTATAGATTTTGAGCGATTTATATACGTACGTATTTTACACGCTATTCTTTTTAATTTAATTTGGTGACAAGTAAAATGTTTTCGTAATTTGGGTTTTGAACCCCTTGCCTACGCCAATGTTCAAATATTTTATGGACTCGCATACCTCCGCTGTTGTTATATTTTCGTGATTTGTTACACAACCCTGGAAATGAAGAAAACAATCGTTACTCAAAGTAACCGAAAAATTGCTCGAAAGTTCAACAACATTGTCTGAATCACAATTTCTGTGGTATTCTGTTTGTATTTCAACACCTCCCTATATACACAATAAGTAATGGAATTACAGTAATTGTTCTATCCAAGACCGTATTTAATGACTTGTTAACCCCAAAAAATTGTAAACTAATGAGAAAAAAGTCTTTAATTAAGAAATTCAACCCTTTTTAATTTTAATATTGTACCTTAAGATTTTTAGGGAGGCTTTACCTATTATTTAGCTGGTTAATAGACTTTTAAATACGGCTTTGGTTTTAACGGTTATTGTATAAACTTAAATTATCAAATTTTGTTACTATTCGATAAAAATTTAAACCATATTATTGTTTTAAAAACTAGATAACAAATATTTTTCAAAAAGCTTAGATAAAAATTAAAAATATATTTTAATATATTTTAATATATTTTAACTGATACTACAATTTAATGAAACAAATATTATTTATTTTTACAATAACCTTACTTGATATTATAATAGTATTAGTTCGTCAAATTGTACTTACACAGCTTTTAGCTTGTCTAATCAACAAGCAAACTAGGCACAAGACCACAGTAATTATAAACATTTTGTAACTCATAGTATTAAATGTAAACTTGTTGGGCACAATTATTCTTCAGTGAATTTTTGAAGTTAATATAAAGAATGATGTTCATTTTTGTAGCGCATCAAAAATTTAATGTAAATTGAAATTTTTTACGTCAAATTTATATTATCAATCAAAGAATCAAAGGACAATATCAACTATATCATTATATTTACGCCTGGATGATTTTGTATAATACTAGCTTAAACTAATGTACATTATTTAGAATTGTCATGTACACACATTTTAGATTAAATAAATTCAGCAATAACTTAGTATGTTCGCATAAAAGTAAAAAATGTATTTCTATTATTACATATTTTTAAAGGATTATTACTCACTCGACAAGATCCGTCCGGAATGGAGTATCACATCCATCAATATTTAATAACTTTAATAAACATTATTTCAATGATTCATAATGGTCTACTCAAAAATCAATAACATACTTTTTAACATAAATTTTATAAAATTGAATTTATATTCTGAAATATAGGATTAAACTAATATGAACCTAATTCATTTTATTTTAAACTATACCCATAACCAATTTAGAGAATGGCTACTATAGCCATCACTGGAGCATTAAGAACTACAACAACGGTCGCATTAGAGGTACTAATCGGATTGCCTCCTCTGCATCTAGAGGTTAAAGCTTACGCCAAAGCCACAGCTCTAAGAATTCACAACTTAGGTACTTGGATTTTGAAGAGCGACACGGCAGAACGTGGTAAAATAATAGAAGAGATAGACCCGGGCTTTTTGGAATACCCCTTGGACTATATCAAACCGGTTCTTAAGAATAATATTTCCTACTAAGTGGAAATCACTACACGTATAGAATGGAATATTAACCACCTTTAGAACCTCAGGTTCAGAACCTGCTGGTATACAATAAAAGGAAGATAACTATCTTAAATGATAGTCAAGCGGCTCTGAAAGCACTCTGTAATGAACAGGTGAATTTAAAGCTAGTCCTCGAATACAAGGAAACTTTAGAATCACTATCAAGGTTCAAACAAAGTTACACTAGCGTGGGTACCAGGACACAACGGTGTCACTGGAAATAAAAAAGCTGACTTTCTAGCTAGGAAAGGAGCAAAGAATACCTATGTAGGACTAGAACCAGTGGTAGGCCTCACTGAGCAATCGCTTAAGGCGTTACCCAGTAATTGGCGCAGAGAATAACACAAGAAAATCTAGAATTACTTGGTAGTACTTAGACAATCTAAAATGTTTATCAAGACCCCCGGTATACTGCTGGGTGATCTTAATAGTATGACTAGACATCAAATAAGCACTTAGTAGACTGGTCTATTTACAAGACATGGTCACTTGTGTAAACATCTTTACGCAAGGAGGTATCGGAATCACCATTGTACAGGAAATGTGGAGTAGAAGAGGAAGACTCTTTTCACATAATATGCGAATGTAAAGCCTTTCAATGCTAAGATCAAACTACTTGAGTAAACCTTTTCCTGGAAAAGAAAACATTAAAAACCTAAGACCCGGAGATACTGAATTTTGGCAGAAAGACAGGACTCTTTGATAATTTACAGGTATAACTTGGTAGTCGACCCTTATATAATGTTAGGTATAAAGTAATAGCAATTCGGCGATAACACTAAGGTATGTAAACCGAATCAAGACAAAACGGTATGAGATGTGCACAATAGACCAACAAGTCAAGTGCATTGGCATTATGTCCACCTCCATTATAACTAAAACTAAAAAACCCAGCACAAGGGTGTCGCGGCACAGTGGTGACGTGGCATAGTTGGGTCAAGTATAATGATATCTGACAGTGATTAAAATCACTATCATAAAAAACGCTTTGATGCAAATCTGTAGATAGTGTTTAATTTAAAAAAAATATTTGTCAAAAAAGTAGGTCAAGTAAAGTCAAGCAGCTGAGAAAATAAATGATAAATGAACAAAAAAAAACCACATAGTAAAATAATATTTATAATGAATTTCTTCTCTCGAGAGGAGACTACAGTAATGGGATCCATGATATTTATTGAAGTTATTAAATCTAAATGAAATAAAAATCAAATGAGTTAAACATTTTTTTCTAACTCAAAAAGAATTAAGAAAAAATTCAGTGCCACAGGCGTGTAAGAACCAAGTGTTACCGTTTGGTAAAAAGAAAAAATTAAATCATCATGATCTTTTTCTATTCAACGCATCTATGTCATATTTTCATTCATAGTTTTTTGTAATTTTCTTCGACATGATATTAATTAATTATACATTTTTGTTAATTTGTTTAGCTAAAATCTGTACGTGTGTGCAAATTGATATGAAAAATATAACACATGATGTCGCTAACGAACATATACAAAACCACAAGACATTGTTACCTTTGAAAATTAGAAATAATACTGTGTATACTAGTGCTAAGGTTTCACTCAAAAACTTCAAAGACTTCTACCTAAATGACGACATTCATAATCCTGTACCTTTGAATGAAGAATATTTAGGTTCAGCGCCTCGTTTATCATACCGTACGCTTGCTGTTGGAAGAACCTTGCAACAAATTACGGATGAAGCTAAACGAGAATTTAACGATCCATTCGAAGCTATAGTTTGGCTTAGAAATGTTATTGAAGGCATTGGAACATTATTATTGCAATATGGTTTATTCACAGCAAGTGCAATAAAACACATACCAAAAGAACACAAGAAGTTTAATCGTCATTTTAATGAGGCCTCAACTTTTTTCAATTTTCTATCAGAAAAATTTAGTGATTATCGTTTACGTAGTGAACCGATTATTGAAATAATTCCAATATTTAATAAATATAACCAATCTCAAATACTGGAAGAAGATAAACAGAAATTCATAAAACTTATCTATGATGTTAGGAAGCGTTTCTTAAAGTGTGCATTTTTGGTAGAGATGGCACATCCTCAAATTTTAAAATACAAGTATTTTAATGTTACATAGTGTGTTATTGTTCGTAAGACAATACTTTCAGTTTAACAAAAATTAATTTTTTTTTTCATAAAGAGATTTAGAAAATACTAGTAAATTAAATTTAAAAATATCTTAAACTACCAACACCTTTAGATATTTTATTGAATATTTTTGATGATAAAATATTAAAAAATAATAAAATAAGATTTATGAGTATTTAAAAACTATGTTTTTTTTTTGTTATTTAATAATTCCAAATAATTTTTTTTTTCATATAGAATTTTTTCCATAATTGATGTTATACTAATGTGTAATTAATTAAAAGTAAGTTTAAGTTGACTTAACAATTTTGCTTATTTTTCGAAGTTCGACTCTACGTTGCAAAGCTACATTTTTTATATAGTAAATAGTAGTTAATTCATTGATTATAAATGCTATAGTGATTATAATAAATAGCTAAGAAAATAATTATTTACATATATTGATAGTTTTAATTTGTAAGGCTATTTTTTATGAAAAAATTTTAATAGTTTCTATACTTATAATTAGCTAACATTATTTCCAAAGAAAAATGTATTAGCTTCAATGTGATACTGAAATGATTAATTTTTTTATAACATATTTTAATGATTAAAATATGTAGTTGTAAATTTCTATTATCACTAAAGTTTTCTTTAAGATTATTCTAACTATATAATATAAATTGTATTTTTGTATAGGGTATAGTTAATCAATCACTCTGTATACTAATTTATTTAAAAAAATAAACAGAATTTTTTTTATTAAAAAAATTAATGGTTTTTTTATACTTAATAATATACCAATTAAACGTTAAATTTTTAATTTGTTACAAAATATAAATAATGCTAAAAATATAATACTAATAGCAAAAAATCTTAAAATAACTTCGTAAAGAAATAAAATATGTTTAAAATTTGAAGAAAACGATTGTTTTACTGATTTTTAGCTTCGATGGGAAGCTGAGAAGGTATTGGTTTTATTATGTGTTTTTTTTTTTTGTATAAACTATGCCACGACCCCACTGTAGTGGCTTTTTTTTTATAATTTTTCTGATACGTCAAAAGATCACAAATCGTATCTAGTCGAAGACATTACCCTCAAAAATTGAAAAAATTTCCCTCGTTCCCCGTAATTGTGGGAAACCTTCAAAAAAATTACAAATTTAAAAATCATTAATTTTCGAAATCTTTTTATATAGATGCATGATATCATTACCTTTCATTTGGTATATTTTTTTTATAAATAATTAACTTTTTTTGAAAATGTTCCGGAATAATGTAGCTTTTGGAATAATCTACCAATTTTTTAAAATTAAACATTATCTAAAGATTTGCATCGAAGCGTTTTTTATGATAGTGATTTTAATCACTGTCAGATATCATTAAACTTGATCCAACTATCCCACGTCACCACTGTGCAGCAAGCCACCTGTGTTTTTTTTTATTAACTTTGATGTCTGTTTCACCGTGAAGACAATATAAAGTCCGAAATTTTTTTTCCCATAATAAAGCACATAACAAGCTTTAATGTAAGATATATATAAAAGTGTCTGACTTTCCGGAACATTTTGAAAAGTTAATTTTTTGTGAAAAAGTTGTCATTTTGAATCTCCCCCTGTGGGCAGGTTTACAAAAAAAATATATCAAATGGTAAAAAAATATATCAAATGGTAGATAAATACATCATGCATCTATATAAAAAAGAATTATATTGATATATTCATTTTTGAAAAAGTTATGGCACTTATAAGTAAAAAAAATTGAAAAATTTTCGAAAATTAGCGATTTTTAAATTTGTAATTTTTTTGGAGATTTCCCCCATATACGGAACGAGGGAAATTTGTTCAAGTTTTGAGGGTAATGTCTTCGACTAGATACGATTTGTGATCTTTTGACGTATCATTGAAAGAAATCGGTTCAATGAGAGCTGAGAAAAAGTGATAATAGATAAAAAAAAAAGACACATCAATTACCAGTAAAACCAATTTTCAACTTCGCATCGAAGCTAAAATTAATACCCATAACATACTTCGCTACGAAAATTTAATATTATGAGATATTTATTATTTTTCTTATATTTGTAAAAATAATTAATAAAAGTAATTATTACTTTTATTAAAATATTAACATTTCGGGTGTAATCGGAATTAAGAACTTTGAAATTCGACGAACATATGGTTTTATAGAAGAATTCTATATTTGATCTGAAGTAAGAAAATGCGAGATGTATGCGCACAGTAATTTATTTAATTAGGAATAGAATCTAATTCGCTATTATTATTAAAAATTTATAATTATTAATTAAAAATTATTTTATTTTATTTATATTAATAATATAGATTAAACTCATTAAGTGGAGTTTCATTTCACCTATATTGTATCCAGAATTTTTAAAATTCTAATTATGACACCAACTATGTCAATCATATATGATATTATTTGGGCTAATTACAAAATTTATATCGGGAGACAGTTTTAATATTTATTTACTGAATGTGGCATTACAAAATATACAAAATAAGACTTTAATATAAAACTTTAACAAGGTCTCACAGCATTTAACAATTGTATTTTTTATTTTTTTTTATTTTATTGCCAATAGATTTTTATTTCAGAAGTTTTCAATTAACTGCAGCATCAACAATTTTAATAATATTATTGAAAAAATTATATACTTAATAATGCTTATAAAAAGAATTTGCATATTAATAATTTTATTAAATTTATTTACACTGCAGCTAATCTACAAAAATTTGTTAAAATTAAATAAATGAGTTGAATAACTCAAATACCATAAAGGAAATTTTTTATAAAAATATTTTAACAACTTGAAAAAAAACTGAAAGAAGAAAAAATCACAGTACAAATCATTTACTTTGTAATGAGTTGTCAGCGAACCAAAGATAAAAGAAATCCTCAGCTAACTGACAATTCTTCACTTACAAATTTTATTATCAGTTCCTTATTATACTTCTAGTGACAATTTTTTTTTATAAATAAAAATCAGTCGTAGAATATAATACGGCTAATAATGTAATTGCTTAACTATTCTTAAAAGTAAAAATGGTTGCATTACATTTAACATTTTTGCAATTGAAAAATGTCACATTTAAAAACGAATGAAATCTGGAACTTTCATTTTGGGTCACAATATGAAGGTATAATATTACATATATTTATATATGAATTACATTTTTCTAATTTCTTTTTTTAAATTGGCATAACAAACAATTGATGTTCACCTTAGAAGGATTCAATGAAAAATATAATAAAGATAATAATAATCATTTAAAAAGAACGAAAAAATAATAATAATAATAATAATAATAATAAATAAATTATAACAGATACTGAACAACATTTAGCTAAGCTAACTCGTGTTTATCAATATGTTAATGTTGGCGATTTTTAACCTTGAAGATGGAGGTCGATCAAGATTTTTGAATTGAATTGGCAATGGATTTGCAAGATTTGGAAAACGCCGAATAACTAAAAAATAAAAAAACCTTATAAATATAAGAATTAATTAATTTTATTACATTATTATTTTTAAGTTTAGAAGTTATACTAATTATGTAAAATAAAAATTGAATATGTTACTAAAAAGGTATAAAGCACGAGTAAAAGGTTTATCATAAACACTCGTTTACACACAAAATATATTTTTGTTTTTTCTAATTGTATACAATTCTTCACTTATCAGGTAATAATTACTTTATAAAATTACTCCTTATAACATATAAGGATGTCAACTGTATTTTTTTAAATAATAAACATATATAACTAGCTTATTAAATAGTAAATTTTATAATTAAAAAAATAATTGGTCAAAAACAACTTTTGGACCAGTATTTCAGAAGTTTTTAACAATTTAAAGTAATGACTGGAGGTGGAGTGGATGCTTCTATTTTTAACAATAGTCATTTCCATGCCATACTCTTTGTATCGCATAGGTATTTAAATATAGATTAACATTAAAGTACTGGTTCAAAAGTTATTATCAACTAGTCATTTTCTTAGTTGAATAATTTTTTATTTTCACTTTTGAAAGCTACCCCTAATTTACCCTTAGGAATAATATTTTCTTACAACAAATTTGATATATACGGTAGTTTATAAAAAAACTTTAAACTACACATTTTTATGAAAACATCATTATTTAACAAAAAAATGTGGTATAGTATATTTAATATATCACTCTATATACAAGGTAACTCTTTTATCATGCACCCATGAAAGACTTGTATAATTTTATATCTGAACAGAGAAATGTGATAAAGCAATATCAAAACATAAAATAATCATGACTCATTATGTCAATACAACTTTTTGATTAATTATTTTTTAAATAAAATTATTATTTAATATAGCAACTAAAAAATGATGTATATTAGCCTTAAAAAGTTTGGTAACCTTGATAAGGCCAGAAAGGATGTATCTAAACATTGCATAATGATTAATAAATAGAAATACATACATAAAAAAGCAAAAAAAAAATTGTTTAGAAATAATTGATGAACAACTCTACCTGTTCTAGAATATAAAAATCTATAGAAATAGCTAAATTAAAATAAGAATTTGTGAAATTAAAAGTTTTTTTTAAAACTAAATTATAAAATGGCTATATTTGTAAATATTAATATGGATATAATTAAATATTATTAAAATTGAATAATTATCTAGCAATATTGAATAAGCTTCATGTATAAAGCTTACTAAATATATCATATTCCAAAAATTGTATATTTTGTTAAGCATTTCCAGAGAAAAATCAGTAATGAAAACAATTTATCGAAGTATTCTTTGAATCAATGGATTGAAAAAAATTTGGAGAAATAAAGTTTTAAGTATTTAGGGTCAGTTGTGCAAAAGAGCGGTGGTATTGTTGAGGATGTAAGACACAGGATTAAGTCCGGGTGGTTGAAGTGGAGAGAAGCGTCTGGCATCTTATGCGATAAAAGAATTCCAATGAGGCTGAAAGGTAAATTCTACAAGACTGTAGTGAGACCAGCTATGATGTATAGTTCAGAGTGTTGGGCGGTTGATTAAAAAGTAGAGCAGAAAATGATTGTAGCAGAGATAAGATAAGAGAAAATAGACTTAGATGGTTTGGTCATGTTATGAGGAGAGAAGAATCGGATGCCATACAGTTGTAGAAATGAATGTCGAAGGAAGAAAAGGTACAGGAAGACTAAAAAAGAAATGGAGAGATGTTATTGAATGCGAATGAGGGCAGCTGATGTGGGAGATCGTGTCAAGTGGAAGTTTAGGATAAGGGTGGCCGACTTCAAGTATTTGGGATTAAGGTGAAGAAGAAGAAAATTTAAATATAGTAACTTTAAATGATAACTAATTAAAAATCCAATTTATGGAAGATAAATATTTTAAAATATATATTTAATAATTTTAAGTATAATTATACAATTTATATGGTTTTTTGTATTTGTTGATAGAAATATGCGACATTTAAGCTCAGAAAAACTAAGTTTTTTTTTTTATAAATTTCATGTTATTTTTAATATTTTAATTTATAAAATTAAATATTTTAAGCATTAACTAACTAGGCATAAAAACTACACAAGTCACTAATTTAAAATTAAGTATTTTAGTTCTATTTGATTTTTAGCATTTTAATTAAAGCTATATGGACAGAAAAATGAATTGATATTATTTCTTATTTCAATAACAAGTTTTGAAAATAAAATCTACCCTAATTGAAAGTCAATAATGAAATTTCTATTTTTTATTACAACCGTAAGGTTGGTTAATACCATTTGGATTGGTATATCCTAATAAATGTTTAAATGCAGTGATTTCTCATTATTTTCTGCACTGGGAACATGATCTTTAGCTACCGTAAAAGCGCATGTACCCATCTATTTACCTATGGCTTTAAACCTATACTCAGTTTAATAATAATAACTCACTTATTTATTGCTTTTACTAAACGTGGACTAGGATCTAATGAGTTAACTATATCTCATGACTCCCGTATGGTTGAATAAATATGGTACTGCCCATGTTGTGTGGGAGCTGGTGTTGTTTGATGATGCGGGTGTGGATGAGAAATATACTGCTGAGGATGTTGCTGCTGTGGAGGTGGTGGTTGCATTGAAGGTGCTGATCCAGGTGTATTAGGGGCTGGAGGTTGTTGTGACCCTGTTGGTGTTGGTAGAATTGGACACATTATAGTGGTACCTGCAGGAAATGGAGGTGGTTGTGATTGTTGCGGTGGAGGCTGCTGGAAATTAACTGGGGTCTGAGATTGGCCTGGTGTTTGAGGTGGCACAGGTTGAGGTGCAGGGGATTGGGCATTTTGTTGTTGATTCATCATATGATGCTGGGATGCCTGATGATGATGGTGGTGGTGATAAGGTGGTCCTTGAGGTACTCCATTATCCATCTGACCAATTTGACCAGCATTAGTCGGATGGTAGCTAATTGAAGTTGGTACTAAAGCAGGCATCATACCTCCTCCTTGTTGAGGTACCATACGAACCATCTAGAAAAATATAAATAAATAATATCAATATATATATATTTGAAAATATTTTTATTTTTACCTGAACTTGTTGATAAGCTTGTGGTGTAGGCATTGGTTGTGGGCTATATCCAGGAACAGCAAATTGAGCTTGAATAGGTGCTGGAGCCAAAAGAGGTTGCCCTGTTGCAGCAGCAACTTGTATTTGAGAAGCTATATCACCTCTATGCGACATTCCAACTGTCACTGAAATATTTAATAAAAACAGATTGTTAATAGATAAAATATTCAACTAATTTAGTAACTAGACTAACTTTTACGGAATCTTCCAGCTTGATTTGGAGGTTGAGGAGGCATCGAATGAGGATGATGATTGAAAGCAGAATTTGATGTTACAAATACAGTTGGTAACATTGTAAATGCTGGATGAGGATGGGGTGGAGGTTGATGCGTAACCATTGGTCCACTTCCAGGTGCAGTATGGTGATGATGGTGGTGATATGCTGCAGGAATTGCAATTGCAGGTCCATGTTGTGCTTGAATCATTTGTTGATGGGACCCAGATGTAGCTACAATATTTGTTGTAGGCGTTTGAGGTGTCATCGGCCTTGAAGAATTTGGAGTACTTGGTGATCTCTACAAAATAATGTAAAAATATATAAATAAAAGCACTCGTAATTTATGAAACATATAATAAAATACATTTTAAAAAAAAGACTTAAGATTTATCAATGATTGTCGCACACTTATACAATATTTAAAACATTTATTTTCAATCTGTCCTAATAAATTTAACCAAAAAATAATTTTCAACAAATGATTAATTTAAAATTAATTAATTCTTTTTTCTCTACTTATTCTTAATTAACGGTATACCTATATTTACTTTTATATGTTCATTCCTTATCCTATCTTCTCTAGTCACTCCACTCATCCATCTAAGTATTCTCTTCTTTGCTCTATTCTCTTGTCAATCTCCCAATACTCTAAACTATAAATCATAAACCATAACTGGTCTCACTACAGTCTAATAAAACTTACCTTTCACCTCACTAAAATTCTCTTATCACATAACGCACTAGACGTTTTTCTCCATTTCATCCACCTACACTTTTCCTGTATTTTACATCTTCGTTAATACCACTGTCATTTGCACAACTGATCCAAAATATTTAAAACTATCCACGTCTCCTATCAGATCCTTTCTTTTAATTACTGATCTCATTTCCCCTACCTCATGTTCTCCTTTGTCAAATATGTACTCTAAATACTCTGCCTTATACTTAATCCCTTTCATTATCTTCACATCTATTATCTTTGATTAATTTCCTCCCTATATTTTACTATTAACACTATATTGTCAGCAAACATGCATCATGGTACCTCTCCTTGTATTTCTCTAGTAATTACATCCATCCTGTAGAAAATAAGTAAGAACTTAAAACCAACAAACTTTGGTACACTCCTACTCTTACACTTATATCTTCTGTTACTCTGCCCAAACTATTTACTCTGACACAAACATCATCATATACTCTATTACATTTATGTACCTTTTTGTGACTGCTTTTCTCAATAATACCTACTTTAAACCTCTCTCGATATATATTATTATAAATCTCTTTAAATCTATAAATACCACAGTTTTCATAAATACACAGTTTTTTCTTTTCCTTATACATTTCTATTAGTTGTCTCATACAGAACACTAGTTTTAACATTGACTTTCCAGGAAAAAAACCTGACTGGTTCTTTGTTACTCATATTCTACTCTTATTCTTTTTTCTATTGTATTTTCCAAAATCTTCATACTATGACTCATATGTATTATGCCTCTATAATTTCTACACTCCTATATGTCTCTTTTGTCTTTAAATATTGTCACCACAATACTATTTTGGCATTTTCCTTTCTAAAAGAATTTTATTTAAAAGATCCTTCTACAACTTAATGCCAACACTGCCTAATATTTACCATACTTCTAATGGCACTTCATCTATTATTTCTACTTTATTCTATTTCATTGATGCCATGGTCTCTCATACTTCTTTCTCCCTAATTAAATCTACCAGTCCGTCACATTACATGAGATTATCCTTTAATGTATCTCTCGGATACTACTCATTCAGTAATTTTTCAAAATACTTTTTCATCTTTTTTTTCTCATCATCACTTTTTATTCACCTTACAGTTTGATAATCTTTAGACTGGTTTTCTCTTACTTTTGCACATTTATACTTCTTTTTCACCTTCCTTTGTTCTTAGTCTATCAAAATAATTATCATTCCCTATATTACATTAATTTAATATTAATTAATAATTAAGGTAAATAATTTTCTAGAAGAATTGTTAGTTGATATATTAGTTTTATTATGGCTGGTTTAAGTTTATCATAAATGTTAACTTACAGGAATAAAAGGTTTTGTATTAGGATTAAATACAAATTCTTTAGCATTAGGATTGAGCTTAGATGTTTGTATAACAATTTTATCAGATGATTGGCTAGAATTTTCTTCTGATGATATTTCATTTGAATCTTTCTTAACACTATCTGTATTATTTTCTACTTGTCCTTCTGGTTGAGACTTATATACTTGTTGAGAAGATGGAGATTCAGTTACTTTAGGGAGTTGTGGTACTTCCTGTGATGACTGAGATGGTTCGGAATGTGATATTTGAGCAGAATGTTGTTTAGAATTTTCAGACACAGTGGGTATGCCTGGGGAAGACACTCGAAGATCACTTTGGGTTGGTGCCGTTGATAAGTTGAAATCAGTACTAAACTTTTTCAACTCAGAAGTAAGACTTTCATCTCTTACTAAAATTACAAAAATAAAATTGCATACATCTATTTATTCAATAAAAAAAAATAACAATTAATTATAATAATAAAAGATTAAATGGACAAAAATACCTCAGATATCAGGAAAAAAATCATTAATTTTGAACAATTATAGAGACATTTTTTTAACCAGATTATATTAAGTCAAATTTTTTACAAAGTTTTTTCTTTTTTTACTATTACTAATGATTTATAAGGTAATATAGATGACACTTGAATAGTCGTTACTGTATACCATCAGTTATCAAATAAATTACAAGTAATAATAAATTTTAAATGAACATAAATAGCAAAATATCTATGTCTTATTTTGATCAATTATCCTAGTCCTCTACATAACATAGACATTTAATAGAGTTTAATTTATAGTTTGATTCAATTAACTACTAACAATGTATAAGATAATTTACCTCTTATAGGTGGAGGAGGTGGTTGAGCTTTAGTCATAGGTTTATCAGCTGCAGCAGCATATGATGTACTGATATTTGTTCTTGTATTTGTTGTATTGGTTTGCTGTGTATATGTTGAAGTTTGATAGCGAGAAGAAGCCACATTACTAGTTTGATTATGTCCTTGGACAGTAGTAGGTGAAGTTCGTGAAGAAGAAGGTAATGATTGATTGTCATTTGAATTGTAATTATTTCGACCAGTTGCTTTAGAAGAAACAAATTAGTTCTAGAATAGCACTAACTAGTAAAATTTAAGTAGTAAAAAAATAATCACCATGTCTAGAATTAGATGAAGACTGTGGGGTATCTCTTCGGTTGCTAGTGGATGCTGAAGAACGTTTGTCTGTTTGACCATTCACAGATGGTTCTCGACTATTACTAGATGAATACGATTGATTGGCATTGTTATGGTATGTAGATCCAGTAGATTTATTGACAGTGTTGCTATTACCATTTTGTTGATGATTATGACTTCGATTCTGATTACTATTTTTTGTTCCTGAACTAGTCACACACTCCCACCGTTCATTAGATGCATTATTAGGATACTTTTCTGGATGTTTACGATTTCTATTAAACAAACCATAAGCATTTGCTGACTGTTGAGAGCCTGGTTTACGACGACCAGATGAATACTTGCTATCATTATGATTATTAGACACATCATTAGTAGATCTCGATACAGCAGCAAATCTATAAAAAATAAAATAAAATTTAATAATCTATTTTAATGTGATAAAAATATAAAATTTTTACCTTTCTTCTTCATCTCCATTTTCTAAATTAGCTCTATTTTGAGAACTTGGATTACTTTCAATTTCTCGAGCTAATCTAGCAGCTTTTGCTTCCTCATTTCTAGAATATACATTTGATTATATACTTATTATATTTGATTACTAATATTAATTTAAGTTAATTCTCTTTATAATAATAAATGTTTGTTTTACTTGAAATTTGACATATCTGTTCGTAGCTCTGTAGTATATCCACTTAAATTTTGATCAAAAGTAGATGTGACTCCATGTTCCTGCTCATTGCGTCTAAACATATCATCAGCATCCCAACCATTCTAAAAAAATTTAATTAATTTAGTTCTAGGCTTAGATATATACTATAAATTCAAAAAAGTAGAATTAAGTTGTAATCTTAAGGAATATAACACCGTTAATTTTAGACAATAATTTTAAAATAATTTTATAGATAATTGAAATAATACACTTACTATATTGCTACTACCAGAATTTAAATCAAATTCTTCAAGATCACCATTAATAGTTGGTGGTTCCCACATTTCTAACACTTTTTCTCCTAAAGGTTGGCCATTATATTTACTAATTGTAGTATCAGTTTGGAATGTATCTAGAACAAAAGATATTGATTTTATGAGTGTCAGTTATTTTACGGGTAGGAAAAAGATAACATACTTCGAGTCATACTATCTAAGTCTGTGTCATGTGCAGTAATTTTCACTATACTGTCAAATTTAAATATCATTTTGTCAGCTATTATTTGTAAACCTACAGTTTGGCTAGAAGGAGGAGGATCAGTCCTGTGTGGTAATTCCAATACAACATCAAAATTGCTAGAAAATGTACGCAATATACCAGAATACATTTCTTTAGAATGAGTAGATATCTAAAAAAAAAAATAGGTTCAGATAATAATCATAAACAATAAAATAAGTCAATTTTTTTATAATATTATCTTACTTCAACTTCAAGTCCTATTAAACTTGTAACACGATGCATAAATGTTTCGTTTAAATATATTCCATCAGCACCTGATACTTGAGTATTTACTCCATTTCCTCCAGATGATGAAGCCCTGGTTCGAGGAGGCCTACAAATGCAATATTCTTTTAAACCAATTTTAAAATACAAAAAAAAAATTACTTTAACAATAAAAATAATCATAAATTATAAATTTAGACTAACAAAATGACTTAATAACATTTATAAATAACATCGAAATAAACTATATCATTTCAAAAATTAAATCAAAATCAATGAAACTAAAACAAAGTAAAATTTATTTAATTGTAAATAGCATGAAACTAAGATTAGGGTGTCTGAGTTTATTAATTTATTAAAACTTCAATCATATGTCATTACTGATTTATTAAATTAGTAACTTAAAATAATTTAATTCATTTTTAAGTTCATGCTTCAAACTTTAATTTATTCAATTAAAGGTAGCCTATTGTTTAATAGACTACTTTAGTAGCCTCTCTGAATTTAAAAAATGGTTGTGTTCCATAATATTACAAATAGATATTATTTTAATATTACTATATTAAAGTGGTGTAACTAAGATTTCATAATATAGGGCACAGTAAAACAACTACAAAATTCTGTATATTTGGCTTTTTATTTTCCTCATCACTTTAGTTAAGAAATGAATATTGCTATCAGGTGAGTAGTACAAACCCCTGACCTCCCCAACTATACCACTGCTTATGAGTTTTACAATATTTTCATTAACAATAAATAATACATACCTAATCACAAGCATTTTGCTAAGTAATTAAAAATCACAATTCAAATTATTGAATATTAATACTGATGAAAGTAAAAAAAAATATATCGAATTACAATACGTCATATTTAACAATTGATCGCTTCACAAGAAAAAAAAATAAAAGCCATTAAAACAAAATTAGTTATGAAACAGATTTATTGAATTAACATTTGATTAGATATTTAATTTGATCTATGATGATGTTAAATTATATCATTTTTTTTATAGTAGTTTTACTAATGGGTTATAAGAAATGTTTATAGTTTCACATAAAATATTTAACTGCGAGTAAGTGAAGAGATAATAAGAAAAAAAATTCCCGACAAAATGGCGACTGTTGACATTGATTAGCAAAAATAAAATAATACTCCACAGTTAAATAGGATAAACTTCATGTGACAAATAGGATCATCGATTACATGATAATGTATGAACCGGGAAAACAACAAGTTTTATAATTGTGATAGGTGTAAATGATTTTAAAAAAATTCGCTTACCTAGATCCAGCAACTGTGCTGCTGTTTGTATTGGCGCGACTTTTTCTTTTTGTCGTGTTCATTCTGCCGTCGTCGTTTCGGCCGGAAAAGGCACAATTCTTCGTAGGGACCGGAATTTTGAATAAAATTTATAAAAATTCAACGATAAGACAAACCTTAGAGGTTCTTATTTCTCTTAATTTCAGTCAGTATCAGCGATTATGCTCAATATATTTTCAATATCAGTTGAGTGAAAACGGCTTTCGTCTCAAATGCACGCACTCTCCGAATTTAAAATTTATATTAATAAACAAAATAATATTAAAACAATAGAACCACAATAACAATAACAACAAATTCTATATTGTAATATTATAGGCGAACAAAAACGCCCTGGCAGTTCGGCTATGCACACGCTGACGTAATCGATGTGAAGTTCACTGCACTCGGTTGTCGACCAAGTGTTGTGGTACTTACTAAACGGCGCGCGCGGCGGCCGCCTTACGTTAGCACTGTATTAACCGAGAAAATGCGGCAGCGATTACAGTTGATGCGTCGGACAATGCATCCAATAGAAAATACTCAAAATTATTTAGAGAAAAAATTAAATTATTTCATTAACACTCACAAATTTAGGTTGTGAACACCAACTGACAAAACGTATAATAGTTGAACTATATACTCATGTGACTATATATGTATATATATATATATATATAATATTTATACGTAGGAGTAATATATATATATATAAATAAATAAATATATAAGTATAAGGATTGTATATATAAATAGTACAGTATATGTTTTATACTAGAGTTACCATTAGTATATTAAAAGAGAGTGCGATATCCGAAGAGTTTGCGCAAATTATCCGCAACAGGGCAATGTATCTCTACTAGTTAGAAAGAGACACGTAAAAAACTATACCAACAAAAACATTTCATGGAATAAAACATCAACTACTCAGAGTATTCATGGAAAAATGTAATAGCATATGGCGTACTTTTCAAGATATACATGAAAGATTAATGATTATATAAACAATTGAAAATGAATAACATAAATATTATAAATCATTTTCTACGACGATATTTGCTTAATTGCAAAATATTTTTAGATGAAAAATTTTTGAAAACCAAATTATCTAAAATAACAACTGTATAAAGTAATTATACACTAGGAAACAAAAATATCATGAATTCAAATTTCTATCTTTCTTTTCAAACATGGCTTCATTTTTCTCTATTAGTGCCACGCAATTTTTATTTAAACACACATTGTCACAACTAAATTTAAAAAAACCATTGTACTATTTCTGCAAAATTAAATAATGAATGCGCATTTGTACGCCATATTTACAGAAATAGTATACTTAATATAATTTGTGTTTTTTAATTCGCGACATCAAGATCGTTGTCTAAATATAATCGTACGTGGTTTTTAGAAAGACTTTATACTTGGTGGATTTTCAAAAATAAACAAATCAACATAATTTTTTTTTATACTAAAACCTTAGATATTTCCCTTTCATTTGATATCATTTTTTTGAAAATCTAACACTTAACCTGCTCATTGGGGAGGATTTAAAATAACAACTTTTTTACAAAAACTAACTTTTTCAACTTAATTTTTGAAAATGTTCCGGAAATACTGCGTCCTTTAAACGTATATAAAATTAAAGTTTATTTTATGTACTATAAAATGAAAAAAAAAAATTTGTCCCGACACTTTTATCTTCTGCATGCAATTGGCTGCCGTAGTTAAAAAAACGCTATTTTTGTGTTAAAATTTTCGATTTTCAATTTTCAACTTAAAATGCTATAACTTTTCGAAAAATGTATGTATCAGCACAAATATTTTTTTTCTAAATACATTATAAGTACATCTTTCAATTAACATACTATTTATTAAAATTGGACAATTCCCCCTTATATAGGGAGCGATCAAAATTTGAAACATTATATAAAAAATAGAACTTTTTCAACTTAACTTTTAAAAATGTTCCGGAGATACTGCGTCCTTTAAACACATATCAAATTAAAGGTTATGTCATATACAGTAAAATAAAAAAAAAATTTGTCCCGACACTTTACCTTCTATGTGCAATGGCTGCCGAAATTCAACAAAAAATGTAATGTTTGCGATAAACATTTATTCATTTAGAAATATTCATTTATAATATTTTTAAAGTATATTGTCAAATTAGATTTGATATTATATAATTTTACTTTGAAATTTATTAATTTTTTTACTCTATTTGTGTGTGCTACTACCAAACTATAACATTCCAAATTTTAAATTTCTTTATCTTCTGCATGTAAACAGCTGCCGTAGTTAAAAAAACGCTATTTTTGTGTTAATATTTTCGATTTTAAATTTTCAACTTAAAAATGCTATAACTTTTTGAAAAATGTATATATCAGCACAATTTTTTTTTTTTTCTAAATACATTATAAGTACATCTTACATTTGACATAATTTTTGTTATAATTGGACAAATTCCCCTTATATAGGGGGCGTTCAAAACTTGAAATATTGTAAAAAACATAGATCTTTTTCAACTGAACTTTAAACATATATCAAATTAAAGCTCATGTAATGTACTATAAAATTAAAAAAAAAAATTTATCCCGACGACCTATCTTCTATGCGCAAATGGCTACTGTATTCAAAAATATGCTATTTTTCTATTAAAATTCTAGGTTTTGTATTTTATTTTATTTTAAAATATCTTATTAGGAGAATATATTGACTTTCATGAATATTATATAATTTAATTGACATAGAATAAAGGTCATAAGACATAAGAAATTAAACTTATTAAATTTTTTTTACTTTTTTATTTTCATACTAAATTTAATAATTATAATTAGTATTTATTCATATATTATATTTTAAAATCAAAAAACTACTAATTAGGATATAATCAAAGAAATAAGAGTTGATGTTGCTTTTGGAATAATCCACCAATTTCTCTAAATGAAACACTATCTACAGATTTGCATCGAAGCGTTTCTTATGACAATGATTTTAATCACTGTCAATACTTGTCAATACCTATCATCTATACTTGTCCCATCTATGCCTTGTCTACACTGTGCCTCGACCCCACTGTGCTACCGTTTTTGTATTATTAATTTTTGTATTTTTAACAAATGTATTTCGTTTATTTTTAAAGAAACTATCTACTAAGACAAGATACTTTCCTCGCTGTCCTCAAAATACTTTTTATAATAATAATTAATCTATACATATCATTAATTAATCATTAAGATACAATAAAGATAGTCTTAAATAATAAATATAAAATATAATAAATAAAATACTTTTTGAGAATTTAAGCAGGTATTGTATAATTTTAAATATCTGTAAATTTTGAATATTTTTAACTTTTTTTATTAAAAGTGTCACAATTTTTTAGCTTCGATGCGAAGCTGAGAAGGTATTAATTTTACTATGATGTGTTTTTTTTTTTTGTGTCTGTTACCACTTTTTCTCAGCTCTCACCGAACGGATTTCTATCAACGATACGTCAAAAGATCACAAATCGTATCTAGTCGAAGACATTACCCTTAAAAATTGAAAAAAATTCCCTCGTTCCCCGTAAATGGGGGAAACCTCTAAAAAAATTACGAATTTAAAAATCGCTAATTTTCGAAATTTTTTCTATTGTTTTTACTAAAAACTGCCATAACTTTTTCAAAAATGAACATATCAATATAATTTTTTTTTATATAGATGTTTGATGTCTTTACCTATCATTTGGTATTTTTTTTTTTGTTGTAAATTTGACCCATTATCTGCCCACAGGGGGGGTTTTAAATGACAAGTTTTTCACATAAAATTAATTTTTTCAACTTGATTTTTGAAAATGTTCCGGAAGGTCTGACACTTTTATATATATTTTAAATTAAAGCTAATGTAATATAATTTATCATGAAAAAAAAAAAATTCACCTCTGGACTTGTCTTCATGGTGAAAATGGCTACCGAATGCTATTTTTGTGTGAAAATTCTCGATTTTATAATTTACATTTTTTACATTGAAGAGCTATAACTTTTTAAAAAATGTATGGATCAATACAATTTTTTCATGAGAAGTAGTATTTATATACATCTTTCATTGGATATACTTTTTTTTTAAATCAGACTATTTCCCTATATATGGGGGGGCTTCAAATATAAAAAATGCANCCCTATATACGGGGGGGCTTCAAATATAAAAAATATATATAGAAAATAGAACTTTTTCAACTTAACTTTTGAAAGTGTTCATGAAGGTCTGACACTTTTATATATATCTAAAATTGAAGCTTATATAATATACTATAATTTGAAAAAAAAAATTTGACCTCTGGACTTGTCTTCGTGGATAAAATAGACATTAAAGTTAATAAAAAATTACGATTTTTGTAAAATAATTTTTTTTTATATTTTTAACTTAATAATGCTATAACTTTTTCAAAAATGAACATATCAATATAATTTTTTATGAGAAATAATATTTTTTAATAATCATTTGACAAACTTTATCTTAAATAAGATATTAATAAGGAACTAGCAGATCATGTAGCATTTGGAATAATCCAACAATTTTTTAAAATTAAACACTATCTAAAGATTTGCATCGAAGCGTTTTATTTTGATAGTGATTTTAATCACTGTCAGATATCATTATACTTGATCCAACTATGCCACGTCACCACTGTGCCGCGACCCCCCTGTGCTGGTTTTTTTTTTTTGTGTGTGTCTGTCATTCATTTTTTTTAGCTCTCACTTAACCAATTTTTTCAAGGGAACATCAAATGATCACAAATAGTATCTAATTCATTATATTACCTTCAAAAATATTTCCCCTTTATCAAATAAATTAATTAAATAAATTTTTCCATAAAGACAATTAAAATCATTTATTTATAATGTTTTTAAAGTATATATTGTCGAATTAGATTTGATATGATAATATGTTTCAACTACAACGTTGAATAATATTACTTTGTTATTTATTAATTTTTTAACTCTATTTGTGTGTTCTTCTATCATTTTATAATATTCCAAATTTTTTTGTAACATGTTACTCAATGAATTTTATCTTCATCTTCTTTTTCCTCGCCTTTATCCCAATTACATGGGGTCGGCCACTCTTATCCTAAACCTCAACTTGACACGATCACCCACAACATCTACGCTCAGATCAGCTGTCCTCATGTCACATTCAATAACATCTCTCCATCTTCCATCCGTCTTTTTCCTTCAACTATCTTTAATTAACAAAAAAAAAACTAGCATATATTATAAAATGTCAGCCAACAAATTCATTAATATGCACTTCAGTTTTTTTTATTGTATAATATAAATTTATATAATAAATCAGGTTAGTTATTCAGGAGGTAACTTTTTTTATCTTAGAGTATGTCACATAAGTTTCACATTGAAAAACTTCTACTGTTTATACGTATGTATTAAGTTGAACCCTTCTGTATAAGGGGAAATGATCTTATATCTAAAAAAAGTAGGTCGGAAAAAATATTATGTATGAAATATTTATAAAAAAAATTGTCTAATGCATATATTTTTAAAATAATAATAGTGATTTAAGTTGAAAATATAAAATCGTTTTAACTACGGCGGCCATTTGCACATAG